GCCGTCTTAACTGGACGTGTCCCCGGCCCGGCCCCGCGCAGGCTTCACGGCTTGTCCCGACCGGTGCCCGGGCTCCCACACGCTTGGATCTGCGGTTGGGGCCTCTCCAGAGCGCTCGGCTCTTCCATGACTTTTCCAAGGAAAGGGGCTCTTCTCTGGGCTTCGTTTTCCCATAACCAGCAGCTGCTGCTCCCAGTTCCAGGGCACCTCCTCCCATCAGTGCCCGAGCAGCCCTCCTCCAGCTCCCGTGGTCTCTCACACCATTCCCCCTCTCCCGTTCGTTTCAGATACCCTTCTCTTGGATATTCTCTTGGATATCTCGCTCCTCTTCCTCAGGAGACACCAAATCCCCAAGGAAAAGGGGCAGGTGCACTGCAGCATGCACAGCAGGGCGAATGGTCGAGAGTGCATTTGAGCAGCAAATGAAGCTGCCTTTGTGTCTCCCCTTCCTCGAAAATGCCGTTTTTTAAATAACGGCGTCTCCGAGCGACGCGCGGCGGCCGAGGAGAGCAGCGGTTCCCTCCCGTCCCCGGGCGTCGCGAGGCCGCGAGGGGGGCTCTGCCGCGGCCCTGCTCTCGCGGGCTGAGGCCGGCATCCCGCAGCCGCGCTCCATGCAGCGTTTGCATCCCGGCGTGGTCCCGACGAGCGCACGGAAGCGCTCCCGGCGCGCAGCACATGCTGCCGCGCGGCGGCATTGCCGGGGCAGGAGCAGCCGACCCGCCGGAATGTGGAATGTAAACAGGGAGCGTTAGAGCAACAGCCGGGCTTTGTGCTGGAACCCAAAGCCGCAGCTCAGCACCTTGGGAGGAGCAAAATCCCAGCCCTTGCCTGCTCCGATTGCAACCCAAGGGCCACACGCCACTTGCCAGGTTAGGTTAAATCATCACCGTAACTAAGCCGTGACCCTGCTCCCCACAGTGCCCCAAACCTTGGGATTTTCAGCTGCTGGGAGTCTGCTCTGGCGCTTTAGGCAGCAGCACAACCACGCCGTGCTGGTTAGCACCGAGCGCTCCAGCCGCATTCCCGGGGTTTAGGAGCACGGGGGCCCCGGGAGGGAACTTCCTTGTGATTTTCTGAGTCACCTGCCCATCTGCCTTGCTTGGGGTGAGCACGGCAGGGAGAAACTCCCCTTGCTATTTAAATAGCTGTAATGTTTTCAAGTATCTTACCCTAACAAACATAAGCACTTAGGGCTTCACGACAGGCTTCGTTTGCAGGATTGCTCCTGATGACTATTTGGCCCTGACTCTGGAGGAATGATGAGCACGAGCAGGGGAAGAACCAGGATCCCACTTGCCTTCTTCTCTCACCATCTCCAAGACACAGCCACGTGCCTAATAGATATTTTTTGAGACTTGGGGCCAGGTTAGTAAGAGGATTCCTTTGTTTTGGGGTTGTTGTGACAGGAGCTGGTGGAACAGGCCCTATGCTGAGTGACCCAGCCCTGCTGTAACGCTGCTGGGGATGCCTCGAGGTCCCCCTGCTCCTCAGCCGTGAACCACTAAGGTCAGTTAAGCCACACTTTTATTGTAGTATACTCCATGCAATATGTTCACGTTTTATAGTATGACAGAGGGAGGGACAGAGATAAATGTTAGATATAAACAAAAGCAGAAAGGTCATTTGTAACAGGTCCTGAGAAGGAAAGGCACATTTGTAACCACTGAATTCAACAGAACGGAAACCTTGGACAGAGGAAGATGACTCTGGAAAGCACATGAGAAAGGGGGAGTTCAAGTGGGGTGATGTGGAAGCGAGTTTAACAGCAATTTGTATTTCCCCCCTCCCAAAGTCTGTAGTTCAAATGGGCTGGGGGACCTCAGTATTCAACCACAGCACTTCCACGCTCCCATTGCTGGAGAGTCCCCAACTCTCCTAGGCTTAGTCAGCACCACGGAGCGGCCCTGGGCTCGGAAAGCTCCTTCCCACACGGATGAGCGCGGAAAGGGCGGCTGGCAGAGAGGCAGGAGGGAGAAGAGTCCGACGCCGCCAGCCGCCTCGCGCCCAGCGCGCCGGATCACGGGAGCACGAGGGCTGCAGCATCGGGGGGACCCGCGGGTATTGCTATTTGCCGGCTTGGAAGGGAAGGGGAAGGCCGGGGCAGGCTGGAGGGTGGATACAGCAGTAGAAGAGTTGGCACGGACACCAGCAGACGTCTCCGTCGGGTCGGGGACCGAAGGGGTTGTAGCACCTCAGAGGGAAGCAGCAGCAGGAGCGCGTGCTGTGCCTCGGTTAAGGCAGGGGCTGCCGCTTGGGCGCCGGGAAGCACGAGGTTCCTGCCAGAGCGGGGCAGGGCTCCGCACGGGCGCTGCCAAGGGACCACAGCACCTCTCCAGGGACACGGCGCGGGGCTGCCCAAAACCAGCACGCTGGAAGCCAGCGCAGAAGCTGGGCCAAGGCTCTCGGCGCCGCGCGCCAGCTATTGCTCCTGAAAATCCCTTCCCAGCAGCCGGCCCCGCCGCATCGCGGATACGGGGGTGCCTTTTTACCTGCTTGCAGAAGGGGATGGTTCAGCTTCACTTCGGGACAGCTCTGTCACTGCTTGGCCACAACACAGCCAATCCTGCACTTACAGCTCCATCAAGTGTATTTTGCCTGTCGAGGGGCTCACATTTTGCAGCCTACGTTTCATCTCGAGCCCCTTTTCCTCAGCTCTCCACCCGTGACACTTGCCCAGTCCCTCTGAGACATCCTGAAGGCGGCAGCCAGGCTGAACCGGGCAGCAACAGACAGAAACGCGGGGCAGGGCCAGGCTGACGCCCGATGCTCCTCCGAGCAGCACAAGGTGACAGGGCTGCCACCCCCCCGCCTCAGGGAGGGGACACAGGTTCCCCCAGGATGGGCAAGGGGGTTCCCAGCAGGGCTGGCACTCAGGGGGGTTTCAGGATGCATCACAGCCCACGAGGGAGCCCAGAGCAGCGGGGCAGGGGACAGGGGCTTCGCCCTCACCAGGAAGAGCGCCGGGAACTCCACGCTGAGGCCCACATGGGTCTCCGGTTCCCGCTGATCCAAGTGGGAGCAAAGGCCGGCGGAGCTGCCTTGGCACACGTGAACCCCGCGCCGCGCTCCGAGGGCTGAGCTCTCTTGGCCAGGGCTTCATTCGGCCCCCGACACAGTGTAAACTTTAGTCCCCACCGAGATAAGCTCCACTTGGATTCGGCCTCGGGCAAGAGGCTCTTTATGTCGGTCTGCCCAGTCACAGCCCCCAGCGGAGCTGGCAGCGGCTCGGGGACAGCGTGCCAGGAGCTCTGCCCCACAGCCCGTGCGGACCTCCCGTTCTGCAGGGTCTAGGTGAGGCCCTCAAAAACGTGGACAAGGCAGGACAGGACAATCCAGAGCCGATGTGCGCTCTGCTCTTGGCACCGCGGTGACAGTGTTACCTCTGCGTGTGACAAGGGATATCCTCCATGGAGACAATGTGACGTTTGGAGCCTGGAGTTCCTCCTCGCCACTGGTCAAGGCCCCTGCAGTGCCACCATCACCCAGGGACACAGCAGGGCTCGGAGCTGCAAGGCTCTGGGTGTCCCTGCTGGAGCAGGGGGGTTGGATCTCTAGAGGTCCCTTCCAGCCTCAGCCATCCTGTGATGCTGTGACAGGCAGGGGGAGGTGGGTGATCCCTCGAGTCCGAAGTCTGTTTCCCAAAGCTGCAAGAAGTGGAAGGGCAGAGCTGGAAGAGCCGGCACATGGGGGCCCGCAGCTCCAGGATCACCCCCTGGAGGCGGCACAGGACGGGATCCTGGAGGCTTCGCTCCCCCCAGCACTCCTGGGATGCGGAGAGGGCTCGAGGCCCCAGGCTCTGCCACAGAAACCCAGAGCCAGAGCAGAGGGAGAGGGAAGGTCCTTCCTCTTGAGCCACAGCCGCGTGCAGAAACCTGCGACGTCCCCTCATGGCTGCAGCCGTGCCGGGATGCCAGGCCCGGGAAGGGCTGGCGCTCTCCTTCCAAGCAGGCTGCGTCCACAATCCTGGCACCAGGGAGCAGAGCTGGAAGAGCAGCCTGGGCCCTGCAGAGACGCCGGGAGGCCGCGGTTCTTGCTCCGTGGGGTCGCGCTGCGGCCCGCGAGGACGAGGGCTGCCGCAGGAGGGCGCTTCTTGCTCCATTCCTCCCTCTGGAGGCTCGAAGGCTGCCCCGTCCCAGCGCCACCGCAGCCCACGAGTTCTCACCTGAGCCCCTCGGGCCTTGGGAAAGGCTCAGCGCTCAGCAGATGCTCCTGCCATGGCGGGACGAACCTTCCAGCCCATCACATTTAATCCACGGCATCTCCCCAGCGGCTGGGAGGGAATGGGGGCGGATTCCCTGCGGCCACCCCTAACCAACATCCCCCTGCAAGTTCGTGGCCATTGCCAAGCAGTTGGAAGATGATGAGGTGCAAACTGAGCCATCCCCTGGTCTTGCGATGGAGTTTGGTGGAAAAACACATCCTCTTCCACCCCCTGGCTTGAGAAGAGAGCCAAGGGGAACGTGTGCCCAGAGCCAGCCCAGCCCGGCGGCTGCAGCCATATTCACACGCGGGCAGAGGGAAGGAGGTTGTGCCCACACTCCTGCACCACATGGACATGCTTAAAAAAACGGGAATCGCGAATGTGGGAGGCGAGGGGGGATTTCCTGAGACCGCAGAGAAGCGAAGGCCGCGCTGAACAGTCAGGACAGGCCGGTGTCAGGGCAGTCCTGCCTTAAGGCTGCAAGTGTTCCAGGTACTGCGGCAGCGGGTTCTCCTTGACGTATTTCTGAATATACCAGCACGTCAGATGGGCTTTCAGGTCCTCCTCCACCACGAAGTCCAGGGCTGCCTGCAACCAAGCGGAGCACAGCTGGGTTACCAACAGCATCCCCGGCTGCGGCTCTTTCCAGCGCTGGCCGGGACACTCCAGGAGGCTCTGGAGAGCTGGGGCTCTGCGGTCCCCTCTGCACCAGCCAGCTTGTCCTCATGTCCCCTCTGTATGAAGTGGACGGAGGGAGGGAGGAATCTGGTGGGGGAGGCAGCCCCAGCAGCACCGCCAGCCCCGGGTCGAGCGGGGACACATGGAGTGGCCCCGGCACACGCCGG